TTCCCCTCTTTAAAATCCGTGGGACATCCCGAGCTGTTGGTTTTCCATCGAGCTGGCTTCTGAAGCGAAAGAAAGAAAACTGCCCTTATTGTAATTTCTTTCCTCTTTGGGAGAAAAGAGAGAGAGAGAAAAAAAAAAAAAGCTTTCCTGTGGTGGTCTGAAAGGCGCATGATCCACCAGGAAGGTTTTCAATTTGCAAGTCACTTGGAGTCAAGCGCTGTGCTTGAGTCAGCTGCAGCAGAGGGATCTGGCTGAGGGAGCTGCCCACACACCAGTGCCCTGGCACGTGCCGGGGGTCTGCATGCACCCCGAGGCTTTCGTGAACCGAGGGAGATAACAATATTTAACTTTACTCGAGGCCTGGATGTTTTCTCATTTGCGCAGGTTGTGTAAGAGCTTGCATCAATTGTCCTTCCAGACCTCAAATTGTCTGTAAATATTTTGTGGAGGTCTTACGTGTTGAATTATCATGAGGTTCCTGATGGTCACAATGTGCGTGCGAGGGAAATAGCACAGCGTTGAACTCGGAAATCAGTATTTGCTCCCAGCTCTAATTTAGAATGTCACACTTTGCTAGTTGGGCAATTGGAATTTGCCTCGTGACCTTTGATCACTTACATAGACTAAAATTTTGAATATTAGCGAGCCAACAGCAGATTGGTTAACTCACTGAAGAGCGTGAGAGAAGTGGTCACAAGCTGCTGCACTTGCTCACTGTTACTAGCGAGCTACCATGTTCATGCTGGAAGCTCGGCGAGAACAGCCTGTCGGTTCCTGAATGTGCTGAAATTGTCTTTAAACAGAAGCCCTGAAAGGACAAAAACACCAAGATGCAGAGCCAAGTTCTCTGTGACAAACGCATTCTTGTGTGCATGATTTTTTATTATTGTTATTGTTAATTTTACAGTGTTCATATAAAGACTATTGGATTCAAACTCAGACCTTGGCATGATTGCATGTCAGATGATTGACTGGCCTTTGCTGGTCTGGCACTGGCTCGTGCCATATAGCGTTTACCAAGCAGGGGATCGTGGAGAAGGGACATTTCCTTTCCAGCAAGACAATAAGAATGAGAGGACTGTGTCAGACCAAAGCCTCTTTTCCTGCAGCAACCAAAGGTGGACAACAAGGAAAAAAGTAGAATGAATGTGGCAAGCAGCGTGCTATTTCCCTCAGTACTTTCCTGGATATCCATTTCACTTTGGGGATGTCTGTAATCCACTTGGAGTCAGTTCTGAAGTTATTCTGCTTGGGTACTTCAATACCTTTTGGAAACTGCTCAGATGATCATCTGTTTTCAGTGTTAATTTCTGGGGATATGTGATCAAATGGAAACATTACAATATGTGCGTCTGAGAGATACAAATTACTTTTGGTGAAGTCACCCTGAGTGGAAGGTATGCATCATTGCACAAGAATGAGCCTTCTAGACATCATATTTCAGATTTTGCTGAATTATTTGCTTTCTAGGTCATTCAGTTAATTCTAAATGATGCAATTCCTGGTCATTTAGATAAATGTTGTATTAAGACAAAGAACCAAAGATAGACTGCTGCTGTCTAGAACAGATTCCCTTTAAAGAATGGAGAAACCAATTTTAAATTCTTTCTTCATTGAAATACAGTCTGTATTTTAGTCAGTGAGCAGCAGTCTAGGTGTCTCGGTTTTTGTTTTGTTTGTTTTAATGCTTTATTTAAAGAATTGAATGGCATTTAAATGTGCTTTAGATATCCAGACTTTAAAGGGATGGCAGTCCATGAGTCCATGAGATTAGGAAAGCTGTTTTGGTTGATAGCAGCTGAATAAATATCTAGCCATTGATTTATTTTTATTTTATTTTTTCCCCAAATGGAGTGATGAATGACTATTGACTGAAGCTGAGCTGTAGATATTACTTTAAAGCAAAAAGAGCATTTTGCACCAGGAAAGACTTAACACAAAATATGTCAATGTGTATTAAAATTAATACCAGATAAATCTAGGTAAAGGTCCCATAAATGTCTTCCTAGAGCTCATGGGAGTATAACAACAAACAGGTTTGTAAGGTGGGAGGGATGGATCCAGGCTGTGCACGACGAGTTCATGTAGCCACAAGATCGTTCTGCTGTTACTGGAAAAGGCGGGTGCAAAACCTGAATCTTGAAGATGAGGAACTTCTGAGGAACATAGGATTGTTGTTGTACAAAACTTTCTCATTGCTCTCTTAAATTATGCTTGTTTCTTTCTCTCACAATAGGGTTTTGAATATAGCCGGAGTGGAAATCCTACCCGAAATTGCCTGGAAAAGGCTGTAGCTGCACTGGATGGGGCTAAATACTGTAAGCTATTAATAGCTTCCTTAAACATGATGTCAGCACATGTATCTCCTGATAGTGCTTTACAGTAGGCATGTACAGTCGTAGGCAAGGGTGTCAACTTTTCACCAGCAGCTGTATGACAGCAAGGTTTTTACAGGCTTTGACTAATGGTTTGGGGAAATGCTGCTTTGATCTGTGCTGGTAAACTTAGCATTCAGGAAAGTCCAGTTCAGTCATCGGTCTTTGTATAATGACTTTACCTCTTTTTGCTGCATTTTATGCCCAAGCATAAACTTAAGTATGCAGGTTCGTGCTGTCAATCTGTCCCTGTGTAGCAGCACTGAATTCAGTAGTGCGAGTGTGAGCCCGTCAGCGCTTTGTTATCAGGCTATCAGACTTTGTCACCGTCCTTCATCGAGGGTTCCACCTTGTGTAAGCAGTGCCTGACGCCTTTAGTGAATCTACCTAAAGAGCGAGATAGCGTTAAGTGAGAGTGACAGCACAGGTGCCTTTTGAAGCTAAGGAAGGAAAGTGAAGGCAAGTTTGACAGAGTTCTGTCATACTAAAACATGATCTATCTGCCATCTACTGCTCTCTCTTCTAGGTTTAGCTTATGCTTCTGGTTTAGCTGCTACCCTGAATATTACTCACCTGTTAAAGGCAGGAGATACCATTATCTGTATGGATGATGTCTATGGAGGTAGGTAAAGCACATGTTTTTGGTCTTCATTGTACAAATGATTTAAAGTATCTATTTGTATTTCTCATAACCTCATTCACCAAGCCCTTTTTTCTTTAAAGACATTTCAGTTCATGGGGACATGTATATATGGTTTTCACAAAAAGAAAATAGCATACAGTTTATTGTAGAAATATTGTTATAGACTGTGGGGTCAGAGTTGTTCGTAATTTATTTATATAATAGAATTTATATGTGTAAATTCACTCTTTACAATTTAATTTATACACAAAGATATTTTTTTGATACAACAAAAAATAAATGCCAGTTCATTCTAATCGTGGTGCTTTGTAAGATTGCAAATTGTATCAGAGCCTGCCAATTTGAAAACACTCTGTAGAACAGCCTATGATGATTGTGAATGCGTACTCTGGGACCAACAAGAGGATTTCAGTTTCAATTTAATTTCCCAATTAGAAAAAGCCCAAGCCCATAAATATAATGCTATTAATTGAAAGTATTTGAGAAATCATTCTGATTCCATATTACTATTCCTTCTCCATGCTGTTTAGAAACACAATGATCTTTAAATCTTTTAGAAGTAAAAGCATACTAACCTGTCTTCTACAGTGTGCAGCATAAAACTTGCACTCTGACTTTCCTGGATTGTATACAAGGGACTGACTGGAAATCAGTGAAGCAAAGTTTATTTCATTTAGTACCAGAATTCTGTACATTTTATATTTATTTTTCCACTATCCCATTAATTTAACTTAAAGCAAAACATTTCTTTAAGTGTCTTGCTTTCGTTCTCTCACTCCCTTTCTTGTTGTTAAGGTACAAACAGGTATTTCAGGAAAGTAGCCATGAAAATGGGTTTGAACATCATTTTTGTTGACTGTACAAAATTGGAATGCTTGGAAGCTGCAATTACACCAGAGACCAAGGTAGGAGAGAAGAGCTGCTAATTTTGTTTGCTTAATGTCCTTAGATAATTTTATTCTTTTTTTCTTATGTGGTCTTGTGATAGGCTTTTATTGAACATGTAAAATAAGTAAATGCAATGCCTAGAAATTTCCTAAGTGTTAGAAGCCCTAGGAAATAGCTTTTTTCAAAATACTTTAGAGGAGGAACAGGAGATCTGCAAGCAATAAAGGTTTGTTCAGAGAAGCATATTGAAAAGGCGTGTATAAAAAGGGGCAAGAAGTCAGGAAGTAGTTAGTGGTGTCATAGCTATAATGTTATAAAAATGAATGAGCAGTGTAAGAGTGGTAGTAGCTGATCTCATGGAAGATGGTACAGCTGTAAAAGGCTTCTGAACTTTTGGACATAAAGTTTTCTTCTGATTATGTCTGGCTTTCTTCGTCTATGAAACACTTCAATTGTTTTTGTGGAAAATAGTACCTCTCCCAAGGAAACGTCAGTAATGACCTTTATTTATGCTCTGCAAACTGAATGGGAAGCTGATACTCAACAAGTTAACATTCAAAAGCAATTAAGACTTCAAAAAACATTTCTTAAAATACAAATGTAGTATTCGTGGTTTTGGACGTGATGATAACAAAGTCTATAACTGGTGATGATGAAGAAAAATAAGGGAGTAATTGCTGTTTATGTATAAGGGAGGGAGGCAGATCCAAGTACTGTTAGTTTGCTTGTGCGTGGGGGGGTGGTTTTTTGGTTTGTTTTTTCCTTCTCCTGACACCATTAAAAGTATACGGAAAAGAGGAAATGTCTCCACACTGATGGCTTATATTGTTGAATTACTGCAGCTTGTTTGGATTGAGACCCCTACAAACCCCACACTGAAGGTCATTGATATTCAAGGCTGTGCAGATGTGGTACATAAGCATAAAGATGTTCTTCTAGTAGTGGACAACACTTTCATGTCTGCATATTTCCAGGTAAACTGTTTATTTACAATTATTCCATTATTTCAGTGTATTCTAAAACATCTTTTTTAGTGGGAAGGACCACCAATAAAGAACAGTGGTTTCAATCTTTATATTTTAAAATTGCCTGCTGTAGTACTAGGTACAACTAATGGATTGCTCCTTTTTAAACTACTAAAGATGGCATCCAGAATATTTTATAGCTATTTGTATAAACATGTGATACCAGTAAAAACAACATAGTTCAACAGTTATAATTTTCAACATTTAGTATTTTGATGGATATGTAGTTTAGAAGTCTAAAAATTTTGGTCTCTGGCAAGTCTCATAGCCTTCTTTTTCCTTCCTTTATAACTAGAATACATGAAGTAATTTGTTTTTAATTATACAAGTATTTCTAAATAATAAGCTTCAATAGACATAATGAAAAAAATGTGAGTGTTTTTTTTTCTTGAAGGATGAAGCAAAAGGTGTCCTTGTGTTTGTTAAAGATACCGAGATAGTTATAATTTAAGAGAGGCTTATAAAATGTGTTAATGCTTAGCTAAAGTGGCACTTGAGTTTGTCTTACACAGATCAAAGGCTTAGTGAGTGTATTTTCTTTTTCTGCATTTATTTTTCTTCTGAAAGGTACATTTAGAAATAAGAGCTAGTTAATATATCTTATATTGGCCTGGTCCTATGAGGAAGTCTGTTTTAATGATTAATTTTAATGATCAATTTCAATAGTTCATTAATAGGTAATATCTTCAAACCCCTCAAGTGTGCTGCTGACACACTAAGTGTGTCACACTAAGAAAATCATAATTTTAGAGTTTGTTGGTTTTAATGTGGTAATATTTAATATAAAAGCAGTGGTGTAATGCTACTATTGCAATGGCCAGGCAATGGCAATACGTGCTGTCTGTGTTCCTTGAAGGGACTTCCATGCTTAATCTGGCAACAGTGTTCTTTTGCTCTGATTACTACATCACCTTTTAACACATTAGGACTCTTCAGCCTTTACAATATGTTAGGTGCATTCAGTTCATTCAAATTACTTCTATTGTCACTAAGGCTAGTGCAAGTAGAGCTGGTACCTTTGAATCACACTTTATTATGTATTCTTTTAATTGTGTTTATCATAAATTCAGAATACTTTTTATTATATATTCTGTATTTCTTCATTCTCTTATTCTTGTATTAAGGTTTGGTCTTGGTTTCTGTACCTATTGCTACATTCTGGTTTTCGTCACAGCGTTTCTGGGCGGTTTGGGAAAGCTAGAGTGCAAAAATAACTTTAATCACACCTATTATTTTCATTTCATTTTAGCGTCCTTTATCTTTGGGGGCTGATATTTGTATGTATTCTGCAACCAAATACATGAATGGTAAGTATCTGAGTTCCACACAGCTCAGGCAGGTTATTTCAAAGCCATCCAAGTACCACAGAGTCTTTTGTGTTTTCTCTTGAACCTCTTCCTCATCTCACAGAAGCTTCTAAATTCATTTTGCTGTGGAAAAATCTACATACAGTTATTGCCAACTTGCTGCTAGCAGCAGCAGTGAATGATACTGTGCAAACACGATTTGCACTGTGATAGTGTCCAGATGGTTTGCTTTAATGGAACAAACAAGTCCATGAGATAAAACATTATTTTTCAAACCCAGGCTCCCTCCAGGCTTGGCTGGTTTTACAGTGTTCAGAATGGAGAAGTCCTGGCTGTTGGAAATGAACCAGGTACACATGCACCATCTGTAAAACTAAACAGTCGGCCACAGGTGACCGGGGTCACCTCTCAGAGTCCTGGTCCCTTTGTGGTTGCTGGCTGCTGGCGTAACGGGTGCTGTGCAGTAACAGTTTGTGTAGAAGCACACTGTCCTGATCAGATTCGCTGGAATCCAGCCTTGGTAATCTCCTTCAAAATCCTGTCTCTCTGGCACATACCATTTCCTTATGCATCCTCGCCAGCCAGAGCTTTGGCTTCTGCTCGTGCTGGGTATGCCCATTTCCTCTGTGCTTCCTCTCCTACTGCTCTGTCCAGACTCCACCTGCTCTGGCTGCCGTGCTGTCTGCCAACAGCTGCAGGCAGTTCATAAAAATGAGTGCATCTGCCAGGGATTCTTGGATAGACCATTAGTTTCAGTCTGAGGAGCCTCACTAGCTCCGAAACTGTTCCTGAGGAAAGAAACAATGGTGTGACCGTGAAGCACTCTATCTGTAGGTGCTCGTAGCCACGTTAGCTTTACTCTGGCTGCAACACAACAAAGGAACAGCAGTGAGAGTAGCTGCCAGCAGAGATATTAAGTTTGAAGGAAGAATTTACATGGCTATGTTGGAACCTGTTCCAAAGCATATTCATTGTGGTGTTTCCAAGCAATCCAGTCTAAAATACAGCTTGAATGTGCTCCCTGTGCTGCAACCACATGTTCTGATTGTGGCATAGATAAAAGTGGGAGCACTCTTGCTCCTGATTTTTCTTGTTAAAGCAGCAGCATGTGTTGCATATCTGTTGCACAAGAACACCTTTAATTTCTGGACAAAGTCCTGCTTTTTCATGCCCGTGGGCATGGTCTGTATCTTGAGGCATGAGAAGAGGTCACACGACGTGCAGCATTACCAAGTGCTAACCATAACTTCAGGAGAAGCTGCGACCTGCCTTATGATTCATGTGTTGGTACAGGAAGGATCGCGGTAGCAATGAGTCCAGTGTTTTGAAGATGTGGGACTGTATTAGCATCAAGACTACTGCAAAACCCTGGAGCAGATGGGCTGACTAATACTGTTTTCATGTTCTCCCTTCATTTTTAGGGCACAGTGATGTTGTAATGGGACTTGTTTCAGTAAATTGTGATGATCTCTATGAAAGGCTCAAATTCTTACAAAACTGTAAGTAGTTAATGTAGGGAGTACCTTAAAATGCTTTGTATTTGATTGTTATATTCAAATATCCCAGTTCATAATGGAAAGCATGTCGCACACACACAAGCATGAACTCTGGCTCTAGAGATGTAGCCCAAGCAGGTAAATGTGAGGAAATATAAATGTGTAGAGAGGAAATAGTAAAATACATGTAGGAGACCTGATTCTCTTCCCTGTCTTTCCAAAGAATTTAACAGTGCTACACAAGCATGATACCTTTCAGTATGCCCCCATGGCTTTGTGGTTGAGTGAAGTGAATGACATTAGTCTTCTCTTCAAAGTACCTCATAACTGAGTATTTTCTATCATGTGTTTTAGGGTTTATTTGTTTGCTTTTTACCATTTGGATTGCACGTAATTTGGTGTTCTTAAATGTCAGTGGCTGACAACAAATGGTCAAAATCAGGGTTAAAATCAGGGCTGTTCAGTTTCTGGCTTGTCCCCTTTCTGTGTGCAGTTCAGGGGACTGACAAACTGGGATGAGCTGGTCATAGCTGCTTGAATCCAGGCACCATCTGTCACTGCAGGATTAAAGTTTTGCGCTTTTTGCCACGATCTCACTCTTTTCTAATATTCACTTGACCTCACACACTAGGAGAAACAGAGACCTTTAAATGATGCATTTAATTTCATTTAACTTATGTCAGTTATTTTAGGGATTTCTTAAACTCATTTGCAAATCAGAGGATTCAGGTAATGTAGAGTTTTCTTGTGTAGTTTGATTTTCAGAAATAGTAAAGGTATGTTAGGTCTAGCAGATTTCATACTCAAGTCTGCAGTTTTTAAATTCAACTCATTAATTTCTTTCTCATGTATGTGAGATGGTGAGGACAGATGACATCAGATTTGTCCTTCCCATTGTCTTGTTCTAACTTTAGAATATTTAAACCTCTGTATTAGAGTGCTGTGCTTGAGTTTTTCGGTCCAAGGTAAATTCGGTGCAAATGAAAGCCAAGTTTCAGTAGGAATCACCAGGAATTGTACCTGCTTCTGGGATTAGTTTAGAAATCAGTACTTATACTTAATTATATCCCCTCAAAAAAAGTCTTTATGTGTAATTTTATCTTGTAATTTTTGTAGCTCTTGGAGCTGTTCCATCTCCTTTTGACTGCTATCTGTGCAATCGTGGCTTGAAGACATTGCAAATCCGGATGAAGCAACATTTCCACAATGCGTTGGCTGTCGCTCAATTTCTTGAGTCAGATTCTCGGGTGGAGAAAGTCATTTTCCCTGGTAGGTTGGCCTGGCTTCAGAACAGGTGATGGCTTGGAGCGACGTGCGTTTGCGTATTGTAATACTGCCCTTTAGTCACCCTTAGCATTTGGAGACTCTAGGTTAGGTGTGTGCCTTGGCAGTGCCCTTAACATTCCTTTCCCTCAGAATTGTTTTTACGCAATTTATGATGACTTGCTTTTGTCTTTGAAGTGATGGTGATTAATGTAAACAAACTCTGACAAATGTTTCTAATTTCAGGATTGCCTTCACACCCTCAGCATGAGTTGATCAAGCGGCAGAGTACTGGCTGTCCTGGGATGGTAACCTTTTATATTAAAGGAAATCTTGAACACGCTGTTACTTTTCTCAAGAATTTAAAGGTAAATGACACAAACAGTCATTCTGAGCCTTACAGTGTAAGGAAGTGGTTTTCCTTGGGGCAGGAAGAGTTGCCTTCTAGGCTTGCAAAGCTCCTAGTTTCTTTGGGTGTATCTGTCTCTCATATGTTATATGTAAATGCAACACTAATGAGAGGGAAGAGAAGGATGTCTCAACCCATAAGTGTTTGTTTATGCAATATGGTATTCTGTAGCCAGGTTAGTCCAAGTTCTGCTTCTAACAAAGTATTTGCATAGTAGCCTTTTACAATTAGCCATAGTATTTGAAAGCAGAGAAGCTATGGCTGATGTAATACTATAGTTGTATTTCAAAGTACTTGTTGGCAGGAAATCCCGGTGAGAAATAACATGAATCATGAAACAAAGGAGGAGTGCCTTGATTTTGAGAATATTTTGTCTTGATTTTGAGAATATTTGGGTTTCGTGTTATGAGCCATGGGGTTTTCATCTTCATAGTTCAGGCATTCTGTTTTTACTCTTTAATATGTAAATCTTGATCTCTGATTAATTTTGCATTCTGCTCTTTTTGATTTTCTGCATGGAAATAAAATTCGGTAACAAATGACAAAGGCAAATTAGAACTTTGTCATCATCCTTATCTTACTCACTTTCCAGTTAATGACATCAGCAGAGAAAATACACACACACACAAACAAAATGATTTTTCCACAGAGTAATCTTTTGAATGAGAGCAAGTGTTTAATCCTGACATAGGAGATCAAGCAGCTGCCAACAAGTTAGTGTGGAAGCAGGTTCCGGAAGATACAGTCTCCTATGAGTATATTTTCGATTTGTCACTAGGTTGCTAAAAAGTAAGGCTGTTTCCTCACACCAGGCCGAGTGAGCAACCACAAGTGCAGAGAAATACTGAGGGCAGTAAATACATTCTAAGCATTTGTACCTTTGTATCTTTTATTTTAACTTGTGTTTACTTTATTTGTTTAGGTTTTTGCGCTAGCTGAGAGTCTGGGAGGATATGAAAGCCTAGCAGAGCATCCGTAAGTCATTTTTCATCTTAAAAGTCCGCTAAGAAAAATCATGAAAAGCTACATCAGAAATTATTTTGTTACTATGAATATTTATTGTAGTTCAAAAAATTGCTAGTATAAAAAGCAGTAATGCTTTGCATATGATTGAGATCCAAGGATAGTATGTTGTGTAACACAAAAACAATGTTTTTTCCAGAAGTCAGTGTGACTAACTTCTAAAAACAATACATCAGTACATTAAAATATTCTGGAATGACAACAGGTCGTTCCATATTTAACCTAAAGATGTAAGAAATATCCTGCCCTTCAGCACTGTGGAGTGTTTGAGTGGGCCTGGACTGGAGCAGTCCTTGGAAGCTGCCCTGGAATAGTCTTGGGAAGATGCAGTGTTTGCAAGCGTGAAGATGCATTCCTAAGACGTCCTGGTCCCACCTAGTTTGCAGGGTTCAAATTTTGCTGCTTGAGGCTTAGCCAAAGCGTATCTGCTCTCTGTGCCAGATTTTGGACTCCTTTGCCTAGGCACAGCTTCTGTAGCACGCAGTTGTGATTGGTATCAAAGTATCAAACCAGTATCAAAATAGGTTCATCAACATTCACTTTTCCGTTTCCCCTCCCAATGCTTTATGGGGTCATTGGCTGAGTTTTAAATTAGCCTATAGAAGGTCATATCTGTTGAGCAAATTGTTCCATTGTAAATTTTAACATTTTTTCACCATTTGTTTCAGCAATGCTATGCTCGTGTTTGCCAAGTTTCCTTGTTTTAACTGGAAAATTGAGCAGCAAAATACTGTGCAACCAAATCCAAGGGATGGGTATTTTTAAACCAGTAGTACTGAGTCTCTTTGGTCTTACCAGTGAGGAGGCACAGCTGCCATTCTAACTGCTTACACGAGGGGGCATGTTCAGTACCTTAAACTGAACTGCAGCTGTCTTCATGTCAGCTGGTTTGGCAAGGATTTTCGTAGTACTTAAATGCCTCGGCCCAAGGCAATTGGGCAGATAGATCTGTAGATCTTGCAAACAAAGCAGTTGTTTAGACTCCTATCTAATCATGGCAACCAGTAGTCAAAATTAACATAATGTTGCTGCACCTTTTTTTTTTTTTTTCCTGTTTAACCTGCTGATATTTTGGTGAGGCTCTTTTGCCTGCATGATTTACCAAATGAATAACCAAGTGTGTTTATTAAAAAAAGAGTTTTAAATGGCATTTTTATTGGATAAATAAATCCAATATCCTCTTATTAAACAGTAATTACATAGAAATTTATGATTAAATTTATACTAGATCATTTCAGGTACTCGTTTTAGAATAACAACAAATCTTAAACATTCGGGCAGCTAAAAGATAATTGTGAAATGGTGGAAGTCACTGGCTGAGCTTCTTATGCAGATACAGAGAGAATAAACTTTTCAGTATGTGTAGTGCCATTTGACAAGTGATCTGAGCAGCCAGAGGTTAAAAAATGGGAGATTTTTTCTCAGTCTATGAATAAAAATAAAGTATGAGGAAAATGTGATTAGTATTTTTAAAATGTTGAAGAATATAAATCAACCAGTTCATTTTAAAGGAGATACTTTCTGTGCTTGATGTTTAATAACCCAGTTTCTGAGTAGCTTTTCTTTCCTGTTCATCCAATGCACTTATTTCACAAACTAACCATTAGAAGTGTTGTTCATGTGTCTCATTTGTACTACAGGGCAAATAGTTTGACATAAGTTATGCATGAAATAACTGAGGAAAAACTGGCATTATTCATAATTTTCTGGAAGTATAAAACTGAAGAGAATTAGTATATACATGTCATTTAAATAATTGTTATACATTTATTAAATAGAAAAGTGGTAAATTTTGTGTATACTATTAAATTAATAACCACTGCAAAGTATTGAGTTTGCAACCAGTGAAGAACAGTCTTATTAGAGGAACTGTTGTGTGAAGGCAAAACAAGATTTCAAAACACCCCTAATCATCACAGATTATACTAACTGATTTGAACCACATCAAGTCTGGTGTGCAGAAAACTGTTCTGCCTTCATGTAGGGACTCAGATGGCCCTTTGTGTAAGCAAGGGAAATGTAGGCTAATGATTTCAAAGTTGCCCTAAATGCTTTTTGATCAAGAAGACATCTCCGGTGGATGAGGCAAGTGCTTCTATAACACTGCTGTGTCTTTTTATGTTTAAAGTAGAGCTTTTTGATTCTCTTTTTTCAGAAACAAAAAATTAAAATGGGGAAAAAAAGGAAGATGAGTAGGATTTTTTTTCCCTTTTTTTTTTATCCCTGATCTGTAGTTTTGAAATACTGCCCTGAATCACTTGGAGATACAAGTCAGTGACTTCAGTGGAGTTTACATAATTTGCACTGGCTGTTGACAGTGTATCTTCAATCTAAAGGCTAACTAGCAGGTCTTATAAAAACGTGTCAAATCTTTGTGGAATTATGGGGTGTTGGAAAGTAACAAATGTGTTGGTCTCTGCCATTAACAATAAAAAAAACTCTTAGATAAACTTTTTTTTTTTTTTCCCCCTTTCAGGGCTATCATGACTCACTCCTCAGTGCCTAAGGAAGATAGGGAGGTTCTTGGAATCAGTGATACATTAATTCGTCTATCAGTTGGTTTGGAAGATGAAGAAGATTTACTGGAAGACCTAGATCAAGCTCTGGAAGCTGCAGTAAGTTGATTGTTATCTTAATGCCTTCAATACAAAAAGAATTTCCCCTCTAATCCTCTCTGCCTTTCTAACTAATCACATATGAGCTCTCTTAACAGTTTTACTGAACCTCAGCAGTAAGTTTCTACTTAACCAACAGGTGCAACTGTTTTCTAGTAACTTTTGCCTCACTTAATTTTTAAAATACTCCTAAATATGCCCTGCAGAGGGTTTAGGTGATGTTCTTGGAGTCTGAGTGATAGGGATAGCACTGGAGACTGGAGACTCACACAAGCATTGGCGTGCTTAGTAAGCATGTATGTACTTTGAAATGTCATGATTTTAGAGAGGGTAAATCTACTAAGCAACTTCAGTAAAAGAGCTTCCACCAGACAGTAACTCTTATATTTGTGTAATATTATTTCCTTTATAGACAAGAGAGTATTTCTAGCCCTGTAGCCAAAGTTCTGTGTTTTAGACAATAGATTAAAATATGATTCTGTGTTATGTCCTTTCTTCCCAAGGCAGGTCTTCTAAGTACCTACGTATATGTGTGTGTTTCAGTATACATATATGCACGAGTATAGGAGTCAGTAATGAAATGTTTCTTTCTTGTACCCAGCATATATATATACCATAGCACATGCTATGAAGTGCTGTCCTTTCCATTTTTCAAGATATAACTTACCAAGGTCATTGGCAATGTCTTTGCTTTCTGCAGTAGTGAATAACTGGTTATGGAAGTTTCACTGATCAGCTCAGAAAGCAGATCACGTCCTTTTGCTTTTCCAGAAAGAGATCCCTGACCTTCTGGTATGCAGGCGAATTCCTTGTGATTTAAAATCTCATGACAGCTTTAAACCTGACTGTATGAGCAAGGCGTGCTGAGCAGATGTCCTTGGTCTGTCCATACACTCTCATTTAACCTCTAATTATACCCAATTATGTCTAATCATCAGAGCTTCAGTGGAAAACTAGAAACCCTTCCAACCTTCAGAAGTGTAATTGGAGAGAGGAAGGAGAGCTTCCTCCTGCCCTTGCAGGCAGCACACAGAGCCTAGGGGCAGGGGATGGCCACGGGCAAAGCGGGAGCCCTTTCAAAAGCAGTTGGAGATCTTGGGACATCCGTTACCCAAGGATATGCACTACGTCTTGGGTTTCTCTGGCTCCTATTGCAAGGAATTTTACAATTCTAGATTTCTTTCCCAAGTACCTGCTTTTCTGGCATAGATCTTCACTTCTGGAAAGTTAGAAGCTTTGCTTTCCCAAATATGCACGCAGCTAAGCCCCACGCTGCTCCTGCACAGCAAGCCTGGGTCAGAGAGGTGCTGCGAGCCCCTGCGCAGGGCGGTTTGCTCTGCTGCGCCCTGGGAACTGTTCCCCATGACACGGGTGTGGGATGAGGGAGGCACCTGATAGATCCAGGCCTGCAGCAAGACAGCTGCTTGAGAGGCTTCAGCAAATGCACTAATTTATTGAATAACCACGTACATTAAAAGCATGAGTTTCCTTTTTCCCTTCTGCACTCTCATGTACAGTTGGAGCACCATAAGTCTGATTGATTCTTTCTTTGCCTGCTGAGGATTCTGAGGATTCATTAATTCCTCAAAAGTCCTCATTGTAATTAGTACAAAAGTCAGTGGAAAGACTTGAGACAGACTTTACTTGATCTTGAATCAGCTCTAAGTCAATGGCAGAGGTAAAAGTAGATTAAAGATTGCCTTGTTTTCCTGCATCGCCTCTAATGGTAGCTACCATCATCCCAAAATGAAAAAAAAAATTGGAAAAGTTAATGTATTTGAAAATCAGTTTTGTCCTTTTTGAGAGAATGTAATGTTATCAGTGAATAAAATGTAAGTCTGAGCCCAGCAGCAATTGTAGCAAATATATACTAGTTTGATACACGGCATAGCCAGGATTTTTTTTTTTCCTTCACTGGTGATACAGAAATTTAGCAATAGTAGCTGCTTGTGTTTCTACGTGTCAGCGTAGAGCACAAAGATTATTTGGTGCTACTCTGTTTCATTCTTGTGTGGCAAAAAATGAGTGGTGCATGGTTGGTATAGGTGCATAATACAATTATCTCATACTTTTCCTTCTTAATGCAGTTTCCAGAAAATAAGGCTTTCAACTAACATCTAAAACCTGAATGTGGAAGTTGAACGTTAAGCGACTAAAGAAGATGACATGAAAAGTCAAACTGCTAACAGTTTTCCTTGGATTTGCCTTGAGAATTGAAATCCGTTCAATCAGTCTCTAGATTCGGGGGAAGTTTTCCCTTTGTGCCATTATGTCCCTTCTGTTAAGGTCTGTTTGTATGTTGGTTATACACTATTGCACAAACTTGACATTCTCCTCTGTGTCCATTTCTGGTTGCATTGTAATCCTTGTCACTGGAATCAAAGAGGTCAATTTATGTTTGAAGGAAGCTGTGATAATATACTGAGGAATGTTATGGCCAGTTCTCTCAGTAGTTATTAATGTTTCTCAATTGTCATGCTAATGCTAAGAGGATGTTATTATCACTAGGGTTTGTTTCTGTTATCACATCACTTGAAATCCAACAGTATTTAAAAATATAATTGATATAGTTCAGTTTTTTTAATGAGACTGGAAATTTTTCCACCCTCTGATATTTTGTGACCTACTGAAAATGAAGGAAAATCCAATATCTGATACATAACAGTAACTTTATAAAGACAATTCTTTGGCTTTTTAAAAGATCAATTGACTGCATTAACAATTTGCTTTGTATTTGGAATTGGTTAATTAAAAGACACTTTGCATTTCTCTGTTTTTGTTACTCCTTTTGATATTTGAATATACTACTTGCATTCAGAATTGGTTGATAATGTAACCCTGGATTTGTTTAAGTTCTCCTGTAGGAAAATGATTTCATCCATGTTTTTAATTTTGTCAAGAAAAAAAGAGATATAAATTGTTATAAGTCGAAATTTATCTTGCAAATTGCAGCATTCCCCAAGCAAAGATTTCTGTCAGACGGTAGTCACTGACTCATAAAAGGAGATTTATTCACAGATTGCTGGTTTGCTGCATTGGATTTGTTGCTGCTTTAAAGTTTTGTAGACTTGCATTTCCGTGTGTTGATCTGCCACGCCAAGAGGGCAGTGCGTATATAGAGCAGGAGTCAGATCCGTGTTTTACACAAAGATCTTAATAGCCCATGGTTTCCCTCTGCAAACACCTGGCAAAGGCGCTGTGGCTGTGTCTGAAGGCAGATCTGAAACTCACCCTGAGCCTGTCTCCAGGCTCCCTCTTTAGGCAGGAGGCTGGCAGCATCAGTGGTGCCTTCCCTCCTCGTGCTTGCTTGGGATCCTGCGGGAAGGAAACAGGAGCAGAAGGAGCCGCTGCTGTCTTGGAAGAGGTTTCTTATCTTGTTAACAGACACCAGGAGCCTCAGCTAACTGCATACTTGGATTAAGTGGTCACTGCGTTATCTGAAGCTGAGGTAAAACATTGCACATATGCAGAATAGACATAAATCCTAATTCCTGCTCCTCTGAAGTGAAATTTGTGGGTTTTTTTGTTTTGTTTTGCTTTTTTCCGTCTCTCTCTCCTCTATCTTAAAATCAGTGGTGAGTAACTGCAGAAGAAGCAAACACATTGGTGTTTGTTACAAGACTGACCACACACATCTCTCTGGTAAGGCTGAAAAATTACACTTGGAAGTTTTTCTGTGTCTCTCATTTAGTTTCTTTTCTTGAGAATGTGGGCTTTTAATGTGTTATAGTTCTGTGAGTTTCCACTCATTAACTGATACACAAATTGATGTAGAGTATGGAATATAGCAAGCAGGACATACAGAGGTGTGGTGAGTGTGCTGTGACTGCTAAGGGATTGGCCACTAACTCTGTGCTTACCCTCTGCAGCTGCTCCGGGCCGGGCGCTCCGCAGCCACGGGAGGCGGCAGCGCTCCTAGCCAGCTCCGCGTCCGGATCTGCCCCTCAGAGGTACGTATCGAGGCGCCGAGGTTGAAAAGTGATCCCAGGCAATTTGTGGAGAACCGCTCGTTTCCCTGGAGGAAATCAGGCCTTTTCAGCAGCCAGTTAAGCATCCTGCAAGGCTGTTCAAACAAATACATGGAACAATTTTTTGAACCAAGACCAGAACATATAGCTGTTTAAGCTACCAAAAGGGGAAGGAGATGATACAGACAGAGACCGATAGAGATGGAAGGGGATGTATCACAGGCATGTTGTGTAGTGATTATGTTGCTTGCTTGCCTTTATCCTCCTATTTAACCTTAAGATAACTTATCTAGTAGGCGTGCTGCTGGCAGACGCATTGCTGGCGAATTCCACTCGTTCTCCCCCAGGGCATAAAAACATTCAAAGCGACTGTAGACTGCAGTCCTGAACTGCTGAGCGGTGTGGAGTTGAGCAGGGAGGCAGGCAGTGCCATCCTCAGCTGCACCGTTTTGGGGTGGGCACGCAGACCCTGCTGCATCCGCACAACAGGCCATGCTGCTTGTGCAGGCAGCAAGGGAGTCTGCTGGGGGCCCCTTCCAAATGCCAGGATGTGGCAGTGCTGTCCCAAGCGCTCACCATTACCTCTTGCTGTAATTATAGTCGGTTAGCCACGCTAGCAATCACCAGGGCATCCCGATACTTCTTTTCGAAGGAGCCCAGATGAGTTGGAACCAAGATGATCTGCATCTTTCTAATGATCCTGTGCATCAGTGTTTGTACCTGGGAGTGTTCAGACTTCAGAGTTTTTTGTTCTGAGTGTCCTTTTTTTCTCTCCTTTTTTCTTTTTTCCTTTTTTTTTTTTTTTTTTAGCATGTCATTAGTACCTTTCTTCAAAAAACCAGCTCACTGGCCTTGCCGTTCTTTCTCTTTCTACAGGCTCTGACCTGAAGCTTTGCCTTTCTTGCTCTAGAATGAAGTGCTGCACTCCTTTCAAGCAGAGCAGCCGGTCCTTTAGCCCCTGTGTTAAGTTCTGTGTATGTCCACTGGTTCATATCATCAGTCTTATCTTTTTATTTGAAATTTTACTAATTCTGAATTAATTACACTGTCATCTGTACAAACACAGTGCACCTCACTTACACTGACTGTTAATGCAAAAATAAGATGACATCTAAGATCTATAAACAGAAATTCTTCTCAGTGATAATAGTATGGTTTGAAGAATGATCATGAATTTTAACTTGTTGTATAGACAATATTAGGAGTTCTTTAATGTATTTTTATGAAGATACAGGAAATCAGAAATGATGGGACTGAACAGAGTAGTCTAAATAACTATAGTAGAGGTTAAGATTCATTGGATGAGGTGTCTTGGTGCATCAATCTGTTCCTTGTGAAAAAAAGAGAACCAGAAGTTAGAGTACTTACACTCTTTTACTTAAAGAAAAATGTATAGGTTTGCATATGTAACATGACTCCTCAAAACATTTGAGTTCATGCATAGATTTAAAAGATTTGAACCAGTAAAGACTTCTTTTTGTTTTGATTAAAGGTAAGAATGTGAGGTTTTTTTGTACCAGGGCAATAAAACATTGAAGTGAGAAGCAGAGAATACAAAGATAATCCAATCAACTGATCTAGGCATTGTGACTTCTGAGCAGCAAGCATTTTTGTGTAGAGGTATCCAAACAGCAGTTTATCTAGAATGGTTAAATAGAAATTAATTCTTGGAAAAACTGAGATGACACTCTTTATGCCCAGCAGATATCTCAGTTACTTATTTGTGTTACTAGTGTATCATAAAAGCAGGTACAAAGTGAATAAAATGCTCTGTTTGATGTAACCTAGCAAATCATATAAAATGAGGAGCTGTATTTTAAAAGAACAAAAGCAGAGTGACTGGCAGTGAGCAGTCTCGAAGTCGTGATTATTGTACTATATCAACTATTTACTGTTCCCATCTCAGCAAAAAAAAAAAAAACTTCTGTTCCATATTAATCTCCTTTTTGAATGTTCATGATTATGTTTCTTGACTAAATATCCAGTTGAACTTCTATATTTTCGGTCCAGTTTTTGTTGTGTCTTTGCCAACAACGGTGTAACGTGAGTGATGGACGTGGACAGTTCCAGAAATGTCAAACTGAATAGTGTGCGTCCACCTGGGTAGAATTAATGTGAAAATGAGAATGTCCTAGGGAAAATGTGCCTTTAGGTGGCAGTGATGGGCTGGAAACCTTTGTTTTTTCTGCTTGTATAGAGGAAAGCAACAAAAGAGGAGCAGGTTGCATGTTTTTTTCTGTTCCCAGGAGATCAGGAACTAAAGTAATTTTTCCATTATTCATATAAATATCCTTGACCAACCTTTCCAAGTTCAGTCACAAAAGTCAAAATAAAATTTCATTAAAATGTCAAATACAAAAGCTGATACATCCAAATAATTCCTTTATTTGCTTAATGGCTAGATGAAGATTGGTGAACTGAGCCGTGTGAAACCGAATTATAAATCGGGTCTGTATGTGAGACCAAAAGAAATCTACACAGATGATTCCTTGGAGTAAAGGCAAAGTAGCCCCTGCAGCAGCCGCTCGTGCGGCCGCCAGAAGAGACCTGAGTGAGAGCGGGGGT